AAAATAACTGAACTGGAAAATGTTATGTTAACAGCAGATAGTAAAATGATAAAGAAAATATATAAAATTTTGTTGGATGATACAATGGTAGATGAAATTGTGAAGAATAATATGATTGCATGGGCTCAGAATTTAGGGCATACTATAAATCTGGAAGATTTTGTAAAATAACCGAACTGGAAAATGTTATGTTAACAGCAGATAGTAAAATGATAAAGAAAATATATAAAATTTTGTTGGATGATACAATGGTAGATGAAATTGTGAAGAATAATATGATTGCATGGGCTCAGAATTTAGGGCATACTATAAATCTGGAAGATTGGGGGCAGATTTGGGAGAAAAATATTAAAATGACTAATGCTATAACATATAAAGAGAATATGTATAAGATGTTTTATAGATGGTATATTACACCTGATAGACTGGCTAAGCAAAATACTAACTGTTCTGATAAATGCTGGAAATGTAAGAGTAAAAAGGGCACATTTTATCATATCTGGTGGCTATGCGATATTACAAAAAAGTTTTGGAAATGGGTCCATAGTTTGATGGAGAAGATACTAAGAGCAAAGATTCCATTTACTCCAGAGGTCTTGCTGTTGAATATATTTCCAAAAGATTATGAAAAAGAGAATAGGTATTTGACTGTTTATATGACGACAGCTGCAAGAATTTTATATGCCAAATATTGGAAAACTGTGATACCAACAAAACAGGAATTTGTGAATAAACTCTTTGAAACAGCAGAAAATGATAAACTAACTTTAGAAATGAGATTAAGCAAAGAGTGGACATTTCAAAAAACATGGAAAAAGTTTTATGATTGGTATAATGTAAGTACAATAGAAGATTAGGCAATTATGGCACAATGGACTTGAGAACACAGAAGACAGAAGAATGGAAAGAGATAAAGCGTTTCTATTAATTAAGTAATTGGTTATAAGCATATAATGTAACTGTACTCTTGGCATACATGTTATGTGTAGTAGAGTGTCTGTTTGTAGTGTGTAGATTAGTTTGTTGTAGATTATAAAAGAAAAATTAATAAAAGTGTACCTATAGGTACTTTAAAAAAAAAAAGTTTGTAATGCAATTGTTTCTTTTAAAGACCTATAAAATTTTTCTTGATTTTGATTTGGGGCGTATAGGTTTATTATCATCAGTTTCTTATTATTTCTGATAATCGTTATTGCCACTGTTCTTCCGTCAGACGTCACAAAAGATATTTCTGGATTCAGTTCTTCTTTGACGTATATCGCTACTCCCTTTTTCTTTTTCTTTTTATCCGCCGCATAAAATAGTTTTCCTGTTTTTTTTTAATTTAAATATTTACTATCTTCTTCTCTTATATGAGTTTCTTGTATGCCAGGACATTTGACAGTTTTAATACTGCATGGGGCTAGCCTGAGCTTCAACCATGGCAAACATTATTTATATCATTTTCAGAAGTTTCCCCCTAATGCAATGTGTGGAGAATGGGTTGGATCTTATGACTGCACTGTGCTAATGGTAGAGTCTTCCTCTGGCACAAGCAGCCTTGCTCAGGCGGAACATGCCTTTTCTGCTGGAGGAAGGCTCCACTGTTAGTAGATTGGAATCATGGGATCCAAGCCTAAATATGCAGAGGTTAGGGAAAGTCCTTAGAAATGATGCTTATTGTTTTAATCCTACCAATAAAATGTTAATGAGAAGGGAAAAAAAAGAAATGATGCTTGGCTCCTGCCTATCTGCGGTTTTAACAGATCTTGGCTCCCTTCTGGTACTGGGTCCAGGAAGAGAGAAACATGCCTGGGGAAACTGACTGTGGCAAAGTGAGGGTGGGAGGGTCCAGCTGTCCTCTCCTTCATGCTCATTTTCACTTTAAGGGAAGAGGTGCCCAATGCATTCTGGGAAATGGTCTTCTCCTTTTTACATGTGGCTGGAGCAGGGTGGCCACCATTACTGGTGTTGGGAAGTGCCATCGAGTCACAGCCAACCTATGGCGACCTCAGAGGGTTTTCAAGGCAAGAGATGTCCAGATGTGTTTTGCCATTACCTACCTCTAGGTAGCAACCCTGGACCCTACTTGGTGGTCTCCCATCCAAATACTAACTGGGACTGACCTTCCTTAGCTTCCGAGATCAGGCTATCCAAGGCCACCCAAGTTGGGGTGGTTACCACTGGCTCAGCCAAATGCCTGGCAAAACAGGGTGGTTTTGATAAGTTTTCAAAGATCTTGAAAAAGAATGGGCAAGATGTGCCTCACCAGTAAATGGGTGGTATCCTGCCTTAAGCTGGAGGAAGATCCTGTTGCATAGAGAATCTTCTCCAGCCTACAGGAACTGTCTCCAACTTAAGTGTCTGAAAGCTATTTAAGTTGGAGGGAGGCTCCGTAGTAGTCTGGAAAAAGGCACCCAGCTTGGTTTAGTGGAGGAGTTCTCCTCAAGTCCCAGAGTTGTAGCATGGGGAAGGCGAGTGAGGTTGTGAGTTAACACTTCCCTAGTTAGGTAGAGAATATGTGACTGAGATTTGCCCTCACTGACATGTTTCACCTTCAGCCACTATCCCAGCTTGTAAATAACTACTTTGTGCCTTTTCATCGTTTAACCGTTATCACATGCCAACTTTTTCCCCCCTCTTCCAGGGTGTCAACTGGTTCCATTGGAAGGGCCACGAATACTCCATCCAGTTTGCAGAGATGAAACTGAGACCCTACAGCTTCCGGAATCTAGAAGGGAGACGAAAGAGAGCCTAAAAACTCCATGGGTGGGGGAGAGAAAGAAAGAGAGAATGGCCAGGAGAAGGGGTGGGGGTTTTTTTCCAGAAAATTGGGGAAGGGAAAATCAGCGACGAAGATGGGAACTTTACCAAAGTAGCAGCGTTGCTTGGCCTGACATTGGCTCCTTCGACAATTTCATCGGGAGGGCAGGGGTGGGAAAGCCTTACTCAAACGTAGCACGCTCGACCGAGCAGCCCTTTTTTTGTGTCCGTAGCTGGCTTTCTTTGCACCAAAGACGACAATCTCCAGGGGTGTTGGGGAGGGGCGGAGGGTTTCTACACAGTCCTTTTTCTCAGTGAGTTCTCGTTGACTTTGAGGATATCTCTGGAGGGCAGCAAGTGAACAGTCGGCTAGTCTGCAAAGCAGCCTTTTCATACACCAACATGCAAGTCATTGTCATGACGAGTCCAAGTCACCACAGAGGTTTCGTTGGTCATCGAGAAGCTTTCTTTATATTTGTGTATGTGTGTGTGCGTGTGTGCGTGTGTGTATATATATGTATATATATATATATATATATATATGGCACCACAAAGGAAAGAAGTCATGGGAACGAGCTGTCCGGTTTGAGATTTTCAGCCTAAAATTAATATTATTAATATAATGGGGGGAAAGGTAAAAGAATAATGATGATAATAATAAGCTACGTTTTTTTTGTCGTCTTTTTTATTTTAAAAGATATCCATGCTTTCCAAAACACAGCAGGACAGTGTCTGATTGTACATTTCCTTTTAATAAAATAAAATAAATAAAAGCACAATTTTACTTTTACGGAACTCTCCAGTTTGATTTATGTACTGAATGGTTTGGTGCACAGTCGGGGGGTGGGGTGAGGGGGTCCCTGTCTCAGGGAATTCAGCAGGAGGTTGCCTGCTCTTTCAGTTCAGAAGGTTTCTGGTTGAAGACCCCAAATCCCCAGTTAAAGGATCTCCAGTAACAGGCCAATCTCTTCTGGAGAGACCTTGCAAGAGCTGCGGCCAATCCAAGTAGCTAGTGCTGCTGAACTGGTACGGCAAATTCATTTGTTGGTGTGGGAGGACAATACTCGATGCTAAATCTTTTGTCTTTTTTTTTTTTCCTGAGCAACTCCAGTGAACGGTTTTGGTATTTGATTGCATTTAACTTGGCATATTATAACTTGGCTTATTGGACGAGACAATAATGCTAGGAAAAGTTGAAGGCAGCAGAAAAAGAGGAGGACCCAACATCAGATGGATTGACTCAATCAAGGAAGCTACAGCCCTCCGTTTGCAAGACTGGAGCAAGCCTGTTAACGATAGGATATTTTGGAGGACATTAATCCATAAGGTCACCAATAAATTGGAAGTGACCTAACGGCACTTAACATCGACACATAAGCCCCCTGGCGGCCTAGACTAGGAAGCACGAGCTCTGTGATCATAGGTGGAATATCCATGATGTGGTTCAGCACACCTGTTCACAAGTGACTCAAAAAATACCTGATTGATACACCTTTGGAAACGGTCCTTCCTGCATAGTCGCACACAGAACCTGAATTTCTTTGCAGTAAATAGCCACATCCAACCAATTCCCCTAGAACAGTGATGGCGAACCTTTTAGAGACCGAGTGCCCAAACTGCGACCCAAAACTCACTTATTTATCGCAAAGTGCCAACACGGCAATTTAACCTGAATACTGAGGTTTTACTTTAGAAAAAACAACTCACACATAAACTTAAGATGATCCAAACAAAGTAAGGAAAGCAATCCCCATTTACTTAAAATTATTTGGCAAAGAGTTTGACACTTTAATGATGGTCTGGGCCTGGCTGGGGCGATGGCACGCATGCCCACAGAGAGGGCTCTGAGTTCCATCTCTGGCACCCGTGCCATAGGTTCACCCTATGAGAGGTGATATTTCAAGACTTTCTTATCATAGGGTTGTACGAAAACACCTGGAAGACGTCATTTCAGGAAGGCTGAGATCACAAATACCAGGACAGAGAAAAGAATGGAAAAGTTGAGGGTAGTGGAACAGCTGCTGAGAATTCACTACAGCTTTTGTAAAATATATTGTATATGAACCAAACTTGTCTCCTAAATCCTTCTGTGCTATATTCTTTGAATCAAAACCAATGAAAAAGAACTCTGAAGCCATTGCTTGCTGGAGACTGTGCTGCTGACGTTGCCTTCTCTGCTGCTTTGGGACTTTTACTGCATACTAGGGAGGAGGCCAGATTTCAAAAGCTCACTGGTTCACTTTAGAAGAAAGGTGTAGTATACAGGGGTCATTTCCTACAGGAGCGCACAGGAGCGGAGCTCCGGCAGTAAGGAGCCCAGGGGGCGGGCACATGCAACAAGCCCCACCCCCTGCTCCCAGCAGCCCTCAGTTGGGCCACGAGGAGAAAGAAGCAGACAGGTAAGTTGCAGAGCCCCCCTCCGGCCCGCCTTCAGGTACAAGCTCTCCCTCTTCTGTGAGGAAAGATCTACACATTCCCCCCCCTTAACTAGCAATCTAAAACAGTCCAGTGGAGCCTGAGGGGTGGGTGTTGCCTTCTGACACACTTCCGGTGATGTCAGAGGGTGTGGCATATGCAAATAAGTTATGCTAATGAGCTCCTGCGCCTCTTTTTCTACGAAATGACCCCTGGAAGTATAAATATAGTGAATGAATGAAAGAAGTGGAACTGATCAGTTCTCTTTTACCTCTGAACTCTGCTTTTGAAATCCACAGTGCCACTTGTTCCATAACTCTGGTATATGTGCACCTGTGTGTGTGTGTCTGTGAAGTCCCATCAAGTTGCCGCCAACTTATGGGGACCCTATGAATTAAAGTCCTCCAAAACGTCCTGTCGTCAACAGGCTTGCTCAGGTCTTGCAAACCAAGAGCTGCAGCTTACTTCATTGTGTCAACCAATTCTGGTGTGACAAGGGGGATTTATAAAGTTATTTCCAGAACTAGAGCATGTGCAGCCTCTTCAGAAGACTTGCCTCTCCCCTTCCATCATCCACTTCCCCAAATACAAGGAACCTAATTTACGTACTGTTTGCTGACTGCACAAGAGCATGAACTCCAGCGGGCACATGAACTCCAGTGCTGTTGACCTGTTGCTCTGTATCCTTCCTAGAAATTACCACCAAAAGGATCAGAGGAAGTAACGCGTGACCTCCGAGTCATGCTAAGTTTTGCACATTGTAGGTTCGAGGGTTCAATAACGACACAATAATGACACAACACACAGAGCTCTTGTACAAGCTCTCTGACCAAGCTCAGTTCTCTCTCTCTGTCCCAACTGTTCTCCGAACTGCCTGTCAGCAGCGCTTTATTTTAGAGCAGGCTCACCCATTGTACAGTGAAAACGTTACAAAGAAGAAGCCTCTAACTAAATCACAATATGTTCTTAACAGAATGTTCTTTACGCTGAAACTCTCCCCCACTGTAGCCAAGTTTATTTTCTCAGCAAACTCATGCAGACTCAGTTCCATCTCTGTGCACTGCTTGCCAATCCCCCGGTGAGAGCTTGAACTCATCCCGGGCGTGCCTCACAGGAGTTGTTCAAACCCACATCACATGATTTGTTTTCAGGCATCAGCAACTATCCAGATAAGCATTTGTTTTAATCACACATTCTGAAAGGCAACTTGGAAGTGTGATTTATGCAGGACAAACGTCTCCCAAATGAGAGCCTTGCCCTGGTAAAAGGGAACAAAGGGGTGTCCTTCTTTGGAGAAGGCATGGCAACAAAACATGAGGCTGCTCCAAGCCAGATTACTGCACCTTTAAATTCACTGTGACTTTACTGTTGGGTAGACATCTTAGCAGTTAGGAGGTCCTGCCTGGGTCTATAACCCCTTATTTGCATTTCCGGTAATTGTGAATCAATGTCTTTTTTCGCAAGCCTGACCAAGGCTGCGGTCACACGGAACATTAGCCACGCTAGAGAGATGGAAGATAGGCAGATTTTCCGGGCACGATCTCACCGCCACATCTGGGAAGCGTAGAGCTCCCGTGGCTCACCCGAGGCTTCCCACCGAAGATGCGGGGTAAAAAACTAGTACCTCCGAGGTACTAGTTTCCGGTAACCGCGGGGCATGGGTGGGCATCTGATCATGTTTCCGGTGGCATCTGGCACCCGCCCATGTCCCCTTGCAAAAAGGTTTTTTTTCCCCCAAGTCTCCATGGATGCGCACAAGCACCCAACAGAGCATACACATACTTTGGTGTACAGAAAAAAACAAACCCATATGCCGCACCGTGCCGCTTCTTTGCCGGGCCACAGGATTGTCCTGTGATCGGCACTTCCCCCCTACCCACAGGACCTCCACGGGACCTCCACGGGACGTTGGATCGCGCAACCGCACATTATTTTGCCCCAGGGAAAACAGCCACGCCTCCCCCCCGCGATATCCGGCCCGTGTGACCGGGGCCCAAGTCTGCTTTTACCTGTTTGAAGAAAAAGAAGAGATTGGATTTATACCCCGCCCTTCACTACCCAAGGGAGTCTCAGAGCAGCTTCCAAACTCCTTCCCCTTCCCCTGCCCACAACAGACACCCTGTGAGGTAGGTGGGGCTGAGAGAGCTCTTGACAGAAACTGATCTTTTTCAATAACAGCTCTTATCGGGACTGTGGCTTGCCCAAAGTCATCCAGCAGATGCAAGTGGAGGAGTAGGGAATCAAACCCGGTTCTCCCAGATTAGAGTCCGCGCACTCAACCACTACACCAAACTGGCTACACCACTACACCTTTTGATGGATGGGAAGAGGTGATAAGAGTATCTTCAAGGGGAAGGTCCCATCTGCATAGGATTGCCAACCTTCAGTTGGGTCCTGGAATCCTCCTGGAACTGTAAGTGATCTCAAGACTACAGAGATCAGTTGCCCTGGAGGGAATGGCAACTTTGGAGGTGGCCTCTATGGCATCACATTGCTGCGAAACTCTCTGCCCTTCCCAGTCATGAGAGCTGCCGAGTGCCGACCTCCGTGGAGCTGTCCTGGAATTACAATTGATTTCCAGACTACCAAGGACAGTTCCCCGGGAGGAAATGGCAGCTCTGGAGGGCGGGCTCTGTGGCATCACATCCCTGCTGAGTTCCCTCCCCTCCCCAAACTCCAGTCTCAAAGCTCCTTCCCAAAGTTGGCAACCTCACAGATCCACAACTCTTCTGCACAGCTGCTACTGTTTCTTTGACGGTTTATGACTTCTAGCTTTCTTGTTAGAGGGAGGCCGTCAGTGAGTTTTAGTTCGAAAGACTCAGGGCCAAAAATGTAGCAGCGCCCTTTCCCTTGCATGAGCAGACGTGACAATAAGGAAGGTGATAAAATTTGGGTTTCGCTTTTCTATTAAAGTTGGATGACATGGCAGTTATCCTTTTCTCTGTTTACATTCCTCCATCCACTCCAAGCAGAATGATTCAGATATGGGACCCCCTGGGGAAAATTGTTGATGACTTGCAGGCCCGTTTTCTGGGGTGGGGCAGGGCTTAGTACTAGCGAGTGACTTTAATGCAAGGATCGGCAGTGATGATTATACACTTTTCTCTAAATTATTAGAATCTGATCATGATGGATTTCTCAGCCCCGCTTGGCATAATAGAAAATCTAAGGAGGATGTAATAAACAAAGGTGGTTTGGAACTGGCAAAATTTTCAATTCAGAGAAACTTTATTCCATTGAATGGCTACTCAGAGGCTGATGGAGCCAGTGATTTCACTTACATGAGTCCCAAAGAAGCCAGTGTAATAGATTATATCCTGGCCCAAGAACCGGAAATATTACTTTTGGGACTTAAA